GCATATTTAATATCCAACAAAAAGGAGCCAAAATTAGACTTACTTAAGCCGTTGCTCACATTATATTATCATTTTTGAGTAAAAAAAACACCATCCTTTCAAAGAATTTATCACGTCATATATCGTACTTACTCTACTCTATCTTCTAATCACGCAAGAAGACTTTATTAAAAGTGTTTGCGACGTAAGATTTATGCAGTACGTGATCCATTGATTTAAATAATTGGATTTCAACGCAAACTCCTAGATTATTCCATGTTTAGATTATGTTACTCTATGATGTATAATCTGTTTCAATTAATTAGCACAAAGTTTTCACTTTCTTCCAGACCGGTAATTATTTACATATTTTTTTTTACTATAAACTGCATCTGAGACTCTTCTGGCTTTTTTTTTCACGTCTGCATCACTTCATATTTCTTTTATTTAATCGCATTTCATTTTGCAGTAATTAAACATTCATTACATATATGAGCATTACTACTTTGCAAATCATCTTTGCTGGCTGAAGTGGCCAAACTGAATGACCACTCTAACTATAAAACAGTCTAACATACTAGAAAATTCATGACATAATTTTCGAGACAACTTTTGAATATACTCTCAATAATATTTACAAAATGCACATATTATTAGGATAAATAACAAACAAAATTATTCCCACCAAATTTTCCTTACAATTTTCCATAAATATTCACTAAAAATATATTCAACAGATAACAAGTAAAAAAGTACTGAATATTTGTAATGAAAAAATAATAATTACAATCGAAATATTTCTTGTATATGCTTTAAATAAGTAATAAGTAATAACAATATTAAAACATTCCTCAAAATATAAAACAATAATTTTGCATGAATACAAAAAAATAAAATAGACAATAATGACAATAAAAAACAAGAAGAATATAAAAAGAGCATATTTAATACAGACAATAAATAAGAAATGTGTGATGTAGAAAGAAGACAAAAACTATAGACAATTTTTAAGCTTTGAAGCAAAGCTTTTCTAAGCGATGAAAAAATTAAACAGCAATTCGTATTCTTAGTTTAGATTCAAAAAAAGTAGCAAAGCAGAGTAGAGCAAACTTGATGCTTCACTCACAAAATGCATAAAGTCTTAGCTTCCAGCTATAAATACTTTGTTATCAGTGTTACAAGTACTGCAAAAACTACAGGTTGATAATTTTTTCTGATTAATGAATGTTGGACATTCATAATTCATCTCAGAATTAAGGAAAAAGGATAATTTAGGGATAAGAAAGTTCAATTATTAAAGAGGTGGATTTTTTGCATTAAGAGTTATTTTGTTTCTTGTTTCAAAAAAAATTCATAATCCTTTGAAATAGCCTTAAAATAAATTTGGTAGTACTGGCTAATTTTGATAAGAAATTTATAAAACGATTCGCAATAAGTTTTCTCATTCAGTAGCCTAACTGATCTACTGCATATTTTTAATGACTGAGTCATTTTATGTTTTTTGATGTGAGAAGAAATAAATTCAAATAAAAATGGAAAAAATGATTTACAACACTTTTCTCTGCATACAAAAACTGATATGAAACAATACAAAAAAATATATCTGATGATATAATAACGAAAAAGTATTGTATTCATAAATCAGGAAATTTATAAGAGAAATGAATTGTTCTTGGAAAAAGAACCTATCATTAAAACACTGATTTAAGTTCAAGTGCAAAAATGGATTTTACAGGAACGGAGTGACTTAGAATCCTGCAAAGCTTCCAAAATTTTGCATTTCGTGGTAGTAGTAGTGCGTAACTTTGCGGATTGCAAAAGAAAAGATTCTAATTGATTGAAAAAAATAAAGGCAAAACGACTCAAAAACTTAAACATAGTACATATCGACATTAATTATTCCCTTCTTCAACTTCGACAGAATTGTAGGGTTAGTCACCATCACATACAATCGAATTTAGTCTACAAATTTAACTAAATGCAACTTACGATGGCCTTCGAATTCATTAAAATGCTTAGTTGCTTCACATAAAAAATTATCGTCAAACAGAATGCTTCAGCTGCATATCACAATGAACCTGACATAAGCTGATCATGTAAAAAAAGCAACCACATGGCTTTGATGAACATTTGTGGTTTACTAGAAAGTTCCACCGCTCTATACCAGTCTTTTTCTATAAGGATCACATTTGTTGGCCAATTCTTCATAATAAAGCATGCATTCGTTAACCATCTGAAATCCCAAAAGTATAAACATCGAATTTTCGATCTACAAAAAAGGGCTAATAACTAGGAAAATTACAGTTTACAAAGAATAAAATTATTAAGAAAGAAAGAATTTGTAAGATTAATTTTTGAAAATTTTTAATCGATCTTAAATTTTTCTAGAATTATTACATCCATTTTTGCAAAACATTCTCCCCTCCATTGTGAAAGAAAGCAATATCATATGCTTGAAGCCAAAGTCCAAACAATAAATTATTACAAGCAATGCGATAGTACGCGAATATAAGAATATAAAATGACTACTAATGAATTTCATTTTTCTAAAAAAATTGAACAAAGAACTGAGCGACACTTACGCTATCAATTTCAGTTTGCATTGTTAAATAAAAACCTTTGATTTGATCGATACTCTTGGTTTCAAGCACTTCTGCGATTGCTCGGAAATTTCTTCCATATCTTTGAAATGCTAAATACACAAAAAATAAGCTAAAATCTCAACAGTATCTTCAATATTCTACAGCACATTTCTCGCTGTATATTGCAGCTTGTGTACAATGAAGGAAAATATTTAGTTCCAAAGCATCACAGAAATAAGACAAATAAAAATCTTTAACGGAAAAAATTAAAAATAAACTCAATCTATATTTTTATTTTTTTAAATCAAATTTTAAAACTTGAAACGCTTGCACTTACCAAACAAAATTTTCCATCTTTCCTCATTTGACCAGGTGGCAGATTTTTGTGAAACAGCAGTAGACGACGATGGTACATTGATCTGGTAATGCTTCACATCTGCAACTTTATGGTACTAAAATATATCAAGTCAGCTATAAACATAGAGAACTAATCGTTCACATCCTATCCAAAAAATAGAAAATTTTTGAAGGTTAACCTTCATTCAGTTCTTTCTCGGCCTGCATCCTTAATCGATTTTCTAAATTTTTACAATTTTCTTTTGCAGTTAACTCTTCTTGTTCCATATATCTGCAACAACAAAATGTTATAACAATGAAAACTTATTAAGTTCCATTATCTAACAACCAGTTTCCTTATAGTAATACAGTTGAACAAAAATTTTGTTAAATTATAGCTGGCAAAAAACTTTTTTAAGTATTTCGTTAAAAAGACGAAAATCTAGAAAATAGTTCAAAATATGACTGACTAATGAAGTTAAATAAATTCCAAGGAATTGCTAACTAAAATATATAAAACATGCTTTTCAATCCGAAAGCATCCTTTTTCCGATTGATTGACAATTTGTATATCACTATCATCTGTCGCTTCATTCATTGGCAATGATTCTGGTACATCATCTGATCTATTTGCAAATTGTATGAATCTTTCCACTATTTCTACCATACCTTAAACAGCACTTCTTACGACACCAAAGACAACTCAATTTATTACATTTGTTTGAATCCTTCAAATTGATTTAAAAGAAACTCATTTTAAATGATGAATTACCTGGAGGACAATCTATATTTTCCAAAGCATTTTGACCACAACGTTTCGATTTCATGCGGGGTCTATGAAGATGATAATTTCTGAACATAGAAAATATGATTTTTGAACGTTGATAATAAAGAAAACATTGGTTTCAGTCATTGAACCTAATTTTTCAAGTAAATAATCAGTTACCTAAAAACAAAAATAACTGCAAGCTATGTCTATAAGTTCCGACTTTCAAAGCAATAGAAAATGGATATTTATAAATCCAAAATAATTTGTTGTTAAAAAATATAAAAAGCAAAAAAGTGTTAAAAACACCTGAAATAAATATAACACGAATTACAGAGCATCAAATCCTCTACTTGACGCAAAAATGAAGTCTGCTCACAATTAGAGCACAAACTACTTCCGTTGTTGCTAATCAGGTCCTGATCATCTGTTAATCTGCTACAGAACACGAAAACATTTTTTAAATCAATACAGCTTTATTTTCATTCTGATGAACTACTGACATATATCACAACCCTTTAAAAAAAATCGTTTGGTCTCGCTTCTTCAAAAAAGCAGCATACTACATAATTCTTCTGCATCATTTTAATTATTATCCTCAAACATTCAATGCATATGGATACATTGTTAAAGAGAATCTATAACAAAATTGAAACCAAAAACCTGTGCTCAGGATTATTTTCTTGAACAAAAGTATCGATAAGGCGTCGAAAGCCGAGTTTATTTTTCTTATCGTAATAAAAACTGATAATTTCCTTTAACGACTTGTGTGGAAGCTGCAATACATTACTAAAGCCTTATATAAATGGACCAAAACTTGTGGGAAATAGCACTACTTCTTCTCTAATATCTTAAACATTTATTATTGATTTTAGAAAAAATTAAAGAGAACTAATAATAAGTAAAAATTTTAAATTAAGAAACCCAGTGCTTGAATTTTTTGAAATCTTTGCCGCATGTTAGCAATGACTTCTTAAAAAAAGCTACATCCTGACTGGTCCATCCCTCTTTTCGTATTCGTCTTTTAGCAAGTTGATTTTTTGCTTCTATGATATTAAAACCTAACGTTTGTAAGATGAACATTGCCTGAAAAAAGTCTAAATTAGCCGTTCTAATTTAGCATTTGCGATAATAGTTGCCAAAAAATAACACAAAATTTATGCCAATAGCAATGAATGACTTTTGAATGTTTTTTCTGAGCATTTTGAGTGACTATGCAATGAATAAAAGTAACAGTTACGTGATATTTATATGATCTGATTTATGAATAAAATACTACAACGCAGCGAGCATTGATAGAGAAGTTTGACGAAAAAAAGACTGATTTATTGAGACACACCCGCTCCTGATCAATACTATATTGACTGAGAGCAATAGAAAGATAATCTTTTAAATCAGAATCTGATACTGCATTTGTTGGCCGCCAGATACAAATTTCACGCTCAATCTCATCTTCGAAAAAATCATCTGGCATCCAATCTCCTACTGGACATTGATAATCCATACCTTCACGAATTTCAAGATTTTTTGGTAAATTAAATGGTAAATAATCTGAAACATAAAGCACAAAAATCGGTAAGACTTCAGTAATTAACTAAAATACAAAAAAAAATGAAATATTAAAATAAGTCCACAAAAGCACAACTACTTGTTAATGGAATAAAAATGAACACCTCCATTTGAAGTTGATGAGAAATGTAAATTAGGATTTGATTTTTGGGGTTCATCCTGAACACTAGTTGATGACATAAGCATATTATCCTGACCATTACTTTTTTCGCCTCCAATATTGCCTTGATAGTCATCATCAGAAATGTCCTACAAAATGAACTGAAAACTGTCTAAAAAATCTTTTATTTTTTTGAACAGAATATTATTTCAATTAAAGAGTATGTACTCTTCATCTTACTTTAGTGCAAAATAAAGGCCTATAAAAATCTTTGTGGTATTTTAAAAAATACTAGAAAATAATAAAAATTATTTTTTGTGTCATTGAAAATATTTGGAAGGAAAATTAATAATGAATGCAGAAAATACAGAGGAAAATTAAAAAATATTACAAAAAGAACGACAAAAAATGACAAAAATCTTTTAGACTTCTACAAAACTTACAAAAATCTTCAACAAAAGTAAAACTTTTATATTGGAAAAGTTGTTCAAATATAAAAGTTTTACTCTTAATAAACTGAAAAATAAAAAAAAGAGAAACGAACTTTTTTTTGCAGGACCAAACGATTAAAGATATGATAAAAGTTCCAGAAATCATATTTCTGTAACAATCAAAAAATTTGGGCAAATTTCTTACAACTTCACCATTCAAGCAAAATTATAAGTAATGGATATTAGTTCAAATATTAATTCAAAAAATAATTGCTGCAAAATTCAAAGTATTAATCGCTCATGTTTTGCATATTGATGTGAAAAAATCAACCTGTTCTAATAACTCCAAATTTAAATTAGATGCTGGATTGATTGATGTCAAAGGTTCATCACATTCCATCTTTTTTTATCTGTATATTTTGATATATCCTAAAATACTCAATTTTAAATTAACGTAAGCACTATTTTGAATAAAGTTTACCTTTTTTGCAAACTATTGCACACAATTTTGACTTTGCAATATTTTGTTAGAATCTGTGCGAAATTTTTTAAATAAAAAAATTTCTAATTGTAAAGTGTTTACAAGAAGTTTGGCTAATAATATAATTTTAGATCATAAATAATTTACTGTCAAAATCATTTTGATTCTGATAGAGACTGTATATGCTTCTGATTAGACTGTATATACTTCTGATTAGACTGTATATACTTCTGATTAAACTCTAAACGAGAAAATTAACCATTCAGGACGAGTTTAAACAATTAGTAAATACTTTATTGAAGATGAAAATTTTCTGATACAAAACATAATATGTAGAATGAAATCAATCGTATTTATGTGAATTTTTAAAAAAAAATGTTTAAATCTTTACTTTTTTTGAACATTACATTATATGATTACTTTGGTAATTTCAATTAAGGCATATTTTTTTAAAAAGCTTTCTACATATAAAGATTATATTAACGAGATATGTACTTGTACTTATACATATTAACTTGATTGATATGTACAAGTAATACAGTTAATATGTACAAGTATTACATTAATATGTATAATTAATACAGTTAATATGTAAAAGTTAATATGTAAAAGTAAGAAGTTAATATGTAAAAGTAAGAAGTTAATATGTAAAAATAATAAGTTAATATGTATAAGTATTACAGTTAATATGTATAATTAATACAGTTAATATGTACAAGTATTACATTAATATGTATAATTTATACAGTTAATATGTAAAAGTTAATATGTAAAAGTAAGAAGTTAATATGTAAAAATAATAAGTTAATATGTATAAGTATTACAGTTAATATGTATAATTAATACAGTTAATATGTAAAAGTTGATATGTAAAAGTAAGAAGTTAATATGTAATTTCAATTAAGACATATAATAAGTTAATATGTATTTACAGTGAATACGTATTAAGTAATACCACGAAAATTATACAGTCTATTATTATGTGGTATATCATCACAATGTGGTAGAGAAAGTATATAAGAGTCAGTTTCTTCTAGGAAAATTACACATTTGTGGTATGGTCATTCTATCTTAGTTGTGACTAGAAATAGTCTAGTAACAGATTTCTGCTGGGATTAGCAAGTTTTGTCTCAAGTATTCAACGTCATTTCAAGTAGCAATATTCCCAACAATGTGAAGAATATAGCCAAACCTGTGAAATGTCGAAAGTACGTGTTGAACGTGAATAATCTGATATTGCTGAAACGAGTTAAATAATATGGGACAATTTGCTAGTTGGTTTTTCGCGGTTACGACCTTATTTAAATTATTAGAAAAACAGATGGATAATAATGGTTCAAAAGGTTCAGGTTGCTCTGGGATGTTGTAATTAATGCTGACTGAAAGGTTAAAGGTTGCTGAAAATCTAGTCTATGCTCAAAAATGAGTGCTCGCAGAATTAGTAGCTTGATGTTTTAAGAATTTTGGCATCATTTATTGAGCATTATTATTTATACAAAATGAAGAATTTAGCAAACATTTTGAACTCTGAAATTCATATATGATTTGTCGCTTGGTATTATACGTGTATGACGTTGAGAATTCAAGCAATTAACCTTTGACATGTGCGAAAATTTTCGGATTTCTTTCCGCTCTCTAGTAGTTCTTCTGTTTGAAGTAATAAATAATAAAAAATTAATTCCTTATTTTACCATTAATAATAATGTAAACGTTTAAAAAGTGATAACTCGTAATTGGCATTGCTTTTCTTAATAAAGTTTTCGTTTCAATAAATAAAGTTGTAATTTCTATTGCTACAGTAACTGTAATGATGGATATAATAGTTTTGGTTACGTGCCTTTTACTCGATTGTATACGATATTAATTTTATTGCAAAGAATATTTGAATAATTTTTAATCGCTGTTTTATTTGCTTACAACAATGTTTTTTTATTGATATTTTTATTTGTTGCTAATTATTTTAATTTTTTATAAAAATTTTTATGCCAAAAAAACAAAGAATTATCTGCAGTAAAAATTTTAATGTACAAAATAAACATTTTAAAGAAATTATCAGTGTTAAAAATTGTTTCAAATCAGAAATTATAAAAAGAATTTTGTTGATATTATCGTTTATTTTATTTTATTTTATTTTATAAGGAGTTTGTTCTTTGAATAAATACGTTTTATTTACGTAATGACAGTTTTATTATTGTTTTTCAAAAATACAACAAAATTTGATAAAGGAAATGTTGCATACGCACACGCATACACGCACGTACATATTCCCTGCAAGGCTACCACATTTTTTCGAATTTTATTTCCCCAGGCGATTTTTTTTGTCTATTGTATTTTTGAATGAAAAAAAGAAACAAATGGATATGTGATGGATAAACAAGTAACGACGTATTCAAAAAATTTGATACTTTATCTTTAGATGTGCAAATTGTAAGATTTGAAGAAAACCAGAAGAAACCATGAGAAGAAACATTAAGGAGGACCAGGAGGACGAATGAATGTCTACCATTTTTTCACTTCAAATTTCGTCTAATTTTTTTCATTTCAAAATTAAACAAAAAGATTTTAAAAATGATGGTATTTTACAAGCAGTGAGACAAAAGCAGTATTAGAATCAAAAATTACCATGTTTTTATATTTTAAATAATCTCATCTAATTTTTGGGAAAACAAGTATTCATAATAATACGTAAACACGCAGTTTAAACTCGTAGTTTACGTGATCTCTGATAAAGTGTATCAAATCAAGTAATCAAATTTATGGTATCATTCAAGATATTATGCTGGTATTTTCGAAGAAATACAATTTGAAGAATGACTACGTTTACCATTTGTGAAGTATTTTCATCATTTAAAAATAAACAGTCAATTTAACTTCTAATTAATAATTTTTCGTAAAAATAAAACTCAAGCACACAAATATATTTCTTCGGAAATATTGAATTCATTTCAGTAAGTGTTGGAAGAAAAAGTACAAACTTATAAGAAACTTTCAGTAAGATTATCACTACTTGTTTCTTATTTGAGCATTTCATTTTTTGCGATCTTTAAAAATCATTTCGATCGCATACACAAAGTAATAAATTCTCTACTCTACTTGCCGCTTCCACTAATAGTAATTCAAAGTGTGGAACTCAAAAACCATATTTATATTACACATATATGGTTTTCGAGTTCCGTACTCTGAATTTTTATTCACGTTGACAAAAAAATTGACGTAGCAAAAATTTCTGGCGTGATGCCTTCTCTCTCTCTTTCTCGCCATATCTACTACTACTTTTTTAAGTAATAAAAATTTTTTAAAAATTTCACGATAACTTGAAATTGGTAAATTTTGTATAGTAAAGTATGAAAGCACGTCAAGTTTTCAGCTGTTTGTCAGAACTAAAATAATTGTTCAAAACTTTCAGATGCTATCACTAGCAAATAGAACTGAGTGCTAATTTGGTTTTTGCTTTTGAAAACTTAAAGATTACTTCGGTAGCAAAGAATGTTTCTACCTTATCTTCTCGTCAAAAGTATTAAAAACAATAATTGTATTTAAAAAACCATGCTGCAAGTATCTTGTAAATTAAATAACTGAGTAAATTGTGAAAAAAAAACCTAAAAATGTTTTCCATCTAAATACATTTCGTCAGGTTTTGCTTTTTTTGAATTATCATTCAATACTTGTTATTATGATAAAATTAAAAGTATTTTAAAAACAGCACTCGAATATTCTCGTAATCTTTTTTGTTACCATATACTAAAATTATAAATTCTGAAACACACGTAAATTCACAAAAATTATGATAACAACTTAATAAGTAATTAATTGATGATAATTATGAGAATAACTTATCAAATACTCATAAAAGGATTTATATCAAATGGAAGCACTGAGCCAATACTCTTATTCTTTTATTCATTATATGATTTTGATTAAACGAATTTTCGTATTATTTTAAAAATTTTTGCAAATGTATTAAAATGAAAGACATAATTATTAAATTGTTGCAAAGTTAAAAAGGTTATCAGAATTTGTTTTACTGATAAGTTTGTCTTTTTTCAATATGGGTCATTCGGTGGTAGTAATGTTGCAGTAATGAAAAAATGCATTTCAAATTCTTAAATTCTTTTTCCATTCATTCTATCTTTTAATTTCTTTTACAAGTTTTCCGTCCTTTTTTTGCATTTTATAATGACAAACAGGTGGGAGGTTTGTTTTATTTGACAAATGCAAACCTGATAAACTGATAACTACTATGAAAGTACTAACCTATTGGTTGTATGCAACAAACTTGGATCATACTTTGGATGAAGTATCTAGATCTAAATTTAATTTTGAATCTAAATTCAAATCAAAAAGTGATTCTACATCAGTATTACTTTATTATGGCCTTCTTACTAAATATTAATAATTACTTCATATATTATTCATCTATACTCCAAGTATTACAATTTTTTAAGCTTTATTTATCATTTTCTGCCACTCTATTTTTACTTGCTAATATTCCATTTACTTATGCAAAGCATCACAAATTTCATTTGGGAAATTTGTGCAAAGAACCTGCTGATTTGGTATGTTTTTAATATATTTATGCAAATTTAGTTACTTACTTCTAATTATTAACAACGTTAATACCAAATATCTGACATCTAAGGTTTCTTACTTTTTTTTTGATTTGTATTTGAAATTTATTGCAGATTATTTGCATGAACTTAATTTAGCACCAAATATTTAGTTAACCATCATGAATTTTACATTACTTTATTAGCTATTAAATTGTAATTAAAATAATTAATCCCATTGTTCTTTATAAATTAAATCTCTGTGAGCAATAATCAGTACTTTATATTAGGCTCATAATATTTCTTTTGAATTGTTTCCTATTCTACTTGCTATTTTATTATAAATTAGTTTAACGACCAGTATGTTGATCCCATTTTCAAATAAATCAAATTTCATTTGCAAAATTGATCAAAAAAGGTCATTTTATTTAAAATTGTACATATTTTATTGTATTTTTTGGAATCCAATTTATATTTATAAAAATGCTGTATGTCTATTCAAAATTTTTCTTTAGCATGTAGATTATAGGCCATAAAAGCTTTGCGAGTTAACAGTTTTTTTTGCGATTTAAAAATTTAATTTGAAAATATTTGAAAAAAAATTTGATCTCTCGTCGCAGTCACTGTTATTAGTTAAGATAGTTTGATTAATTAACTTGCGAAAAGTAGGTAGCCATTAAGGATAACAGGTGACATTTTACATTTGCAAATGTACCCACTTGTGTTAACTATTCAACGAAAATCGAATTTGAAATTTACAAGCAGTTCATTTACATTAATGACCTAATATGTATAATTTGGGTCAAATTAGAGCAAAGAATTGATCTACATATTTCCACCGAAAAAAAGAACGATTAAAGCTGCTGTTCTTTTAAAATTTGCAATGACCCACAAGAGAAAAAAAAATTAAATGTATCTGATTACTACTGATAATAATAACAACAATAATAATAAAATTGTCATTACAAATTATCTAAAACCTTTATGAAAAGTGCTCAAGTTCAATCAAAATTAAATCAAATCAAATCAATACCACACGGAGGTTATGCAAGGATTGATAAACTTATGCTAATAGAATTGTCAATAGTAAATTCTATCGGTTTTTTCCAATTTTATTTCAATTGACGAGATACAACTGGGACAAAATTTCAGTAGAATCAATTACTTACTAATACTGACTGTACTTTATTACTAATAACACTGCTAATGCTTAATATTATAATTTCAGTAATCTCAGTACTTGAGTTCAAATTATAAGCTAATGATATGATGATATTCCAGAATTGGCAATTATTTCGGTGGTTCACTGAAACACTGAAATCAGAAGTTTTGGAAATCAGCGGGGAAGACTGGGTTCCACCAGTACCAGAGCCTACTTTCTGTAGAACTGATCCAGTAACAGGGATTAATTCCACAGTTATGCAACGCTCCTTATGCCCATGGCAATGGCGGTAAATATTTGCAACAAGAATTTTTAAATGTTTGCTTTTTTGCTTTGGAAAAAGATCGAATGTCATATGGTAATGAGATGATTAAGTCTGAGCGAATATCTCAGCTTGAATAAATTTATCCATAACAAAACAAGTGATATTGTATTTGCATAATGTATACGGTAAATACCATTTCTCTAGTCCAATATGAACTAGTCGTTACTGACAAGAGATAGGTCAAATAGTTAAGTACTTAATAGATAATTCAACATTTTACGTCAAAAAACATGAATGCATTGGTTATTAAGAAAATTTCACTTCGTCTCATACATTTTCAAATACATGCCATCAAAATTGCACTGAAAAAATTTCTTGCTTTAATTTGAATATATCATGACGAACGACAAATTCCACGTATACCGCAAGAACGTCAGAATCTATCAATTTTGTCCACTAAGTATTGCAGATCATTTCAAAAACAACGCATGAAATGTGCTAGATTCTGAACTCGTAGGACTGAGACCTATCTATTGAAAAAAAAATATGTAATCATATTACAATTTGTTGAAAAAACAACTCAGAGTCATAATCGAGCACAGTTTTACAGGCGAATAGCTTCAAGCGAATCATTTTTCATTTCTGTTATATACTTTAGATTGAATCACGATGATGATCGTGAACCAAAAATAATATCCGAAGCTTTTTGCTTGTGTCGTCGCAGTCGTGGAAGTTCTGGTTCTTTTTGCTTGCCTATTAAACGAAAGGTAAAAGTAATATTATAAAACCATTACTCTTTACTTTAAGTTACATTATATATAATGTTTTTTAATTAGTTGAAAAATATTTAGAAACTACTAGTGCTTTATTTCTGATAATCATTAAAATAAAAAATGGATTCATTCAGAGAATATTCACTGAGGCTTGAATCAAATGAATTAAAATTTAATTGCGCATAACAAAACTTTCTAGCAAAATTATTTTTTACAGATTGCAGTATTGAAGCGAATTCGGTGTGATTCTGAAACTGGAATTTATGAGTATATGAGGGCACTACAAACAATAACTGTTGGATGCCATTCTGTACTTCCGAGAAGTCACCGAACCACCTTTCTAACAAAATTGTATAAAAAAAGCAATGTAATCGAAATTTAATAACGATAACATTACTTGTAAGCTTTACTACAAAATATACTGCTGTGTGAAAAAATAACTTGTACTTGATCAAATAAACAAAACCAAACTAACTGGTAACTGAGCAGCAACCATCCAAAAATAAAATAAAACCAATGATGTGCTAGAACTTCGGAATTTTATCAATTCAAAAAATAAATTACAAATTTATCAAATTTAGTCATTCTCTCACGCTAAGCAAGTTTGAATTATTCTTTATTAAATGCTGTGTTGACAAAAACGTTCCTCAGCTAATACTTGTGAATAAACAACGAGAATTCTCTAAATGATACAAAATTTGGTAGATAATTGATTTAATAAAAGTATTATGTAAAAATTGAATGCCTTAAAAAGTGAATTAAACCTTAAAATAGCAAAATAATTAATTTAGTGGAATATAGTAGTTGAAGCAATGTATGATAGCAATATCAATCGTAACAAGCAATCTAGCAAATCCTCACGTCGGCATAATGCTTTATTAAAGAATCAAATGATATTTTTCACGCCGTCAGAATGAAATTTCAGTACTAAAATGAAATTTATGAATTTGAGTACTAAAATGCAAAAATACAATTCCTTTCAAATACTGCATCATCAAAGGTCACAGCACAAAATGTATAAGTTAACTGAAAAAACATTTCTCACTAAAATGATAAAATATGCAAATCAAATGTAAAATTATGAAAAAGTATTTTTCAGACGATGAAAATGAACAAAATTACAATGCTAAACACATGCAAATCAAATTTACTGAATTCAGAGGCAAAAATTTTTTAAACATTGCGAAAAATGTCTACAGTATATATGGAATCAGCAAATTGTTTTTGAGAATCTGTGCTTCTATGTGTAATTGTAGCTTTCTTGAATTCCGCAAAGTTCTTGAACGAATCAGATGTATATGTTAGTAATTCTGACTCAATAGAAGTCTTCTATTACATCACTGAAGAGAAATATACAAAACGCCAGTATTTCTAGAATGATGATAATTGAGAATATTCATAATAATGAATTAAGGATGAATATTAAAAATGAGAAACTGATAATCGGCATAACCATTCATAATTCCAGAACTTTAATCTTTGACAACAGAGTGCAAGGACAAAAAACTTATAGCACCGTTCATAAAATCCAATCCACTAATGGATACAAATCCACTCTAGCATTTCAAGTAACCATAAATAATAACTACATGCTAGATATAACTAGTCCAGCATATAAATTAATTAATGCAGCAAATATTTTTTGAATCTTACATTTGGTTGAAAGGGTTAAGCATATAAAACTAAAAAAACACTGAAAATCATTCACTCATCAAAAGTTCTGCCACACTGTTGCATAATTTCGAACATCACAAAAATAATCAGTTACACTTTAAAAATAGTGTAAAAACACGAAAAAGGAATCAAGATAAACCAGCAATATGCATTTATGTTTATAAAAAGTAGAGTGACACACCACATATGATGAAGTAACAATAAAAAATGCAAATTCATAGTCTACACCAAATCATGTAATCACTTTCTTAGTTCCAAATCAAATTCATTTGTTTCAACCTGTTTGATTAAAATGCTAATTAGAGAAGTAAAAAAAGAAATTGCTACTAATTTTGTAACGTGGTCAATTTGGTTGTATTATCATCAATGAAAGACATCAATAAATAAAAGATCAAGAGTGACAGTCTTTACAAAATAGCTTTTTCTACATTCAATTTCATAATTTGATTAATCAAATTCAACGCAGATTCTCACTTGTTTTTGAAAGTAAATATTCCTCCCAGATATATTTTATTTCCTTGATTTAAAAGCGATGATGTAAGCAGGTAAACTGTATTTCACTTTTATTTAATACGTAAACAAATGAAAAGGAAAATTTTCGATCCCAAAATGTTTATAAATAATAAATCAAAAGTAGTGCGAGAAATTTTTGTTTCAAACATCAATTGGAAAAGCAAATATACTAAACAAAAGTGCTTGGAATACATTTTGAATGCATATTTAGTTGATGAATTTTAGAAATTTAGACTAGTTGAAAATATTTGTCATCAATGACATATATATATGATATATCTAGATTAATGTTGTCATATTTTTTGTAATGGAACACTAAGTCATGCTAAAAAGTTTCAGATATGAGTTTTGTTCCAAACTATTCTTCAGAAGATGATGCTGACTCCGAAGGTGAGACTTCCCTTTCATTGCTTTCTTTATCGTCGGCATCACGTTCTGCCAAAATGTTGTCAATAAATGATCGCGCTGCATGTATGTTGGTGCCTGCTGGACAAGCATCGGATACTTCTGCACCCAATTCTCGCATTATTACTTCCGCATCTAGGTACTGTTTTCTTCCGCGCTCTTTGAAAATCTCTAAAAATAGTAAATACAATCACAATCAAACAATATTGGTATCAAATATAAAGTTTCAGCTGTCTGAATTTTAAAAAAAGTTCGGAAAAAAACTTTCTAAGATAATTCGATCAAAAAACCTTGAATGCGATGATGGATTTTATGCTTCCATTCTTCTTCTTTCTTAACTGCTAATGGATCTACTTTGGGGGCTGCATCAAAACAAACAAGTATAATTGTCATGTTATCCCGCGAACCTTTTGATAAGCAAGCATCCAGAACCTAAAAACCATTTCTGAGTAGATCAACTCAAGATGTCACTGCTACTCTAGCAACAACACATGAAAATACATAACAAGAATTTTAAAGAATCTTATTTCCGTTTTTTATAACTAAAATTATTTATCAGTCTCACTAAATCTCTAGTTCAAGTTTCCATGAAATTTAATTAGATTTCAAGGTTAGAATAGTGGAAAGCAGAGACAAAATTGCAATACTTTGTAGTAAAAACAGGACTATGACTTCAATATTAGCCAGTGAAATTAAAAAAATGATTTTAACCCACATAAATAAAGAATGTAGAATTTTGACCCTCTTATGATTAAAAACTTTAAGCATTCCAATATTTTTTTAAAAAACTGCTTCAGAAAATGTAACCTGATTAGCAACACTTGAGAGATCACTGGTTACAAGTAGTCGCGATTCCACAAAACTACAAATTTCAGTGTTTTCCATAACATCATAAACACCATCACAAGCAAGCAATAAGAACTCATCCACTGCCTGTAGGATTATTCATTAGTAACAATCTTATGTAAATAATATTCTCAAAAGTTAGACAAGAACAAGATATAGTGATTTCGAAAAATATACAACAACGCGATTTTTTTAAGTAAGTAGAAAATATCTTTTGAATACAGATGATTAACTAACCAAATAATGAAGTAAAAATTTTGAAACCACGAGCTAGCAAGATGTTTTTAGCCAGACGTGCTTCTTACTCTATCATCAACACCAATAATACTGACAACCACCCATATTTTTTCGTGAACTAAAGAATAAAAAGCATCTGACCTGATCTCTCACGATAGTATATATGTCTGGCTCTGGGCTAACCAACTGCTTCGTAGCTTCCAAACCAGGGACAGCTTTATATTCAAAGTCACCGAGTGCCCTTGAGACTGCTAAGCTACCATTGACACGCTGAATCATCACTGAACCACCAGCGTTAACGATACGATCACGCTCTTTTGGAAGAAACGGTTTATGATCTTCAGTCCCAAACGCCGTTTGATTTTTTCGTGAAATAACAGCGCGAGAATCCCCTATACACAATTATAATTAAATAGCTATACCAATCAAAACCTGGTGTAAAATATGAGTGAGTAACGTATATGAAAACCATTATTTTTTTCCCAGCCATAAAGGTGAAGAACGAAATTTCATAA